GGGGGGTGAAGTGGTCGAGAGAGGAGGGTGGGAGAGTAGGGGGGTACCGAACGTCAATTGCAGTAGATGTAAAGGATCTTGGGCAGGGGGAGGCGAAGTAAAGGAGGAGGTAGCTAGCCTGTAGAAGACGTGGAGCGTGGAGGGAGTAGGCGGAGGAGGAGAGAGGAAAACGATCGAACTGTTGTACAGATCGGGGAAAAAAAGAATCCCGTCTTCTTCTCTTCTGCTTTCTTCTTCTTCTTCTTCTTCTTCTTCTTCTTCTTCTTCTCTCCCCTGTTGTGGCCGTGAGTACTGACCGGCCGCGTCAGGTCTGTCGATCGGGATCCAGGCTTGTGAATTGGGATCCAGGTTTGTGAATCGGGATCCAGATTGGAAAGGAAACCATGGGGTTGTTGTCACTGCGGTGGTGTCGGCTTCTGCCGGAGGAATTGTTGAGCTTCTCGAAAGAGTTATGGCGCCGGATTTGTATGGAATTCGTGGTGGAATGGCCGCTGTTTTGTGAGAAATGGAGGTTGATTGTAGCTGGACTGCTATTTCAATATATACATGGAATCGGTGCCAAGGTCGCCCACTTTCTTCATCGGCCGGGACCGATTCTACACGACGTCGGGTTTGCGATCCTGCCTGAATTAGGTCGGGATAAGGGCTACGTGAGTGAGGTTTTATTCTCGACCATCTTCGTCTCCTTTCTCCTTTGGAGCTTTCACCCCTTCGTGCTCTTCAACAAGCGCTTCTACACTGCGCTCTTGTGGCAAAGGGTCCTTACCATCTTGGTGGTGGCCCAGAGTCTCCGGATTGCGTCGTTCACGGTCACCCAACTCCCAGGGCCTAACTTCCATTGCCGTGTAGGGTCGGAGAGAGCTGTCCTCCCTCCTCCTCATGGCATCGCTGATGTGATTGTGCTAGATATGCCCAAGGGGGCCATGTTTGGATGCGGCGACTTGATCTTCTCGTCGCACATGACCTTCGCTCTGGTGTTCATCATTAGTTATACCAAGTATGGGTCCAAGGTGTGGATAAAGAGGTTGGGATGGGCGATGGTCGTGCTGCTGTCGCTGCTCATCATAGCGTCGAGGAAGCACTACAGCGTGGACGTGGTGATTGCCTGGTACGTGGTGCCGTTGGTGTTCATCGCGGTGGACAAGTACTCGAAGGAGGGGGAGATGGACCGGTCGTCGGCGGCTCTACCGTCGTCGTTTTCGAGTGGGAGTTTAAGTGGTAGCAGTGGGGGGTTGGGAGGAGGAGGAGGAGGAGGAGGAGGAGGAGGAGGGGGATCTCCTCTCCTGCTGCCATTGACGTTGATTCACAAGAACAATTACAAAGATTCTCGCGAGGAGGAGAGAGATCACCTCCTTGGAGATGACGTGGCCGACCTGGATGGCCTGGATCTTGAGAAAGGGGGATGGGAAATGGGGGGCGGGGGAGGGGGTGGTGTGGGGGGGGGGGGATTGTGGGACAGCGGGGGGGGGGGTAGTAGCCACGTGGGCGGGCGGAATGGCCACGGGGCTGCCAAGGAGCGCCGACAGCGCATTCCCGTGAATGGCAAGATTTTGATGACCGACGTAGCTGAGGAACAGACTGGATTGCTCGGCGGCTCCAAGGAGAGAGGACTGGGAGTAGGTGGTGGGGTGGTCGGAGGAGGAGGAGGAGTAGGAGCAGGTGGAGGTGGTTCTGCTTTGAATGGCTCTGCCTCACGTGGCCAGTTATCGTCCATCGACGAGAGCTTGCGAAGTAATAAGCTGGACAACGGCAGGAAATAACCTACCTATAACTGCTCTTCTTCCCCCTCTCCTGCTTTCCTCCTCCTCTCTCCCATCTCTCTCCCTCTGATTACTACTCTGTTCGTCCCTCCTCATCCTCTATTTTTCCTCATACGTGTATATGCCGCCTTCTCCTCCTTTCCCAGGTCAGTACCATTGATATCCTCTCTCTCTCTCTCTCTCTCTCTCTCTCTATGTCCTTTCCTCGGCTTGCGATAATTAGCATTCGCTTCATCCATTTTTCCTCTCCTTCTCCTTGTCTCTCTCTCTCTCTCCTCTCCCGCGTCGTCCTCCGACATAGAGCAATCTTCTGGAAACGTCCACTCACCACCTACTTTATGCTCCTGGACTCCAGCTAAGTCCACATACAACCACGTGCTCTTCCCTCCCCGTCGTTCTCCGCGGACGTGGGTGCCTCTCCTGTCCCTCGGTCGTTCCTTCTCAAATTGCCAACTCAGCACGTGGTTGCCACGTCAGCAAATGCTCTGTTCTTGGATCGTTTTTAGTTGACCCATCTTTGCATGGCAGTGCAAGGAACGCAACAGAGAAGTCTTGTTAGCGGGACCATGTACGATATCCACTCTATACTCATCGTGCTCGTTTCTCTCTCTCTCTCTCTCTCTCTCTCTCTCTCTCTCTCTCTCTCTCTCTCTCTCTCTCTAATCCGAACATCTATGGGGAGAGAACTTTTTTCCATTCAATCACTTGACAGGCGGGCCCATCATTGTCCGACAGATTAACGGATGTTCTTTTTTTTTTTTGTTTTTAAATCGCCGACGGACACTTGCCCACGCTCTCGTTTTTTCTCAC